CCGGATCCCAAGCCTGCGCCCGAGCCCGAGCCCACTCTTGCAGCGCTCGTCAGAAGTTAAGGTAAGCAGGGCCACAACCGGCTGCTCTCAGCGCTGAATGGCGGAGTTTACGTCTCGGTGATTTATGGCTGCAGACTTAAATCTCGGTTCAAGAAGAGTTCACAAGCCGGAGCTTCCTTCCCGGCAGTGACTGATACCCTTACACTTCGAGTTCAGGCCGCTTTCCCATCCCCGCCCCCACCTCTTCCCTCTCCCCCAGTCCAGCCTCAACTTTTCGGGGTTGGGGAGAGAGGAAGGGGTGGGCAAAGGGATGCGGGGGCTCTTACCCGTTGTTTCCGCTTAACTCGGGGTGAGGGCAGGCGGAGGAAGGGGCAGAAGTGGAAGAAGGGAGCGGTGCCTGAAGGTAGAAGGTTGAATTTGGGCAGATCTTCCAGAGAGACAATAGAGCTTGCTTCCTGTAACTCAGTTTAGCCTCCTTAGCCCTCTTTCAGCTCTTGCACCTGGGGGTTATTGTCCAGAAACACATCTTTCCAGGAGACTCTCCTCCCATCCCCAGCCCTTGCTTAGGGGTGCAAAGCAAAGTTTCCTGGCTGGCAAATCTCCAACTTCTTTACTAGGTTGCAAACTTTAGGGGCTGTGTTGGGGCAGCGAGGGGGAATTGTGGATTATGTGTACCCCAAGGTGATTATCTGCTGACTCAAACAATAGGAGGGACTTTGGTGGGATCTACAAGGTGAATTCACATTTTAAGTTTAGGAGGTTGTTGTATGTTCTTAGAGTTCTAAGGTATTTTTGTTATTTTACAAGACAATGCACAACTTGATGGAAAGACCTAAGCAGCAGGCTGGTGTAGCTTGTGATAATGGATTAGCAAGTCGCTTGAAATATTGCATGTTCAAAATCAACTTAATTTTGTTTTATCTAATATCTTGCTGTTCAAGTGTCTGGAGTAATTTTCTTAACCTGATGTTTTATTTTACACAAGCCCAGTATCTTAAAAATTTATGATGGCAGACATTAACACTGCCAAATGTAATTGGAACTATTTTCAATGAAAGAACAGGAAACTAAGACATTAAATTGCTATTCTGTTTTAAATTTTATTTTATCATTTATTTACTTTTAACCATGGTATCTGTAGCTTCCTATCTATTTCCAAAAGAGAAACAATACTCCAGGGCTCAAGATCACATACAATAACTCTGGATAAGGGTTGCTGTAATTTTTAATTGAGGTTCTGGAAAATTAATTGTGCCTGTTTTCCAGATGTTGGGCAGATTGTTGGTTTAATAATGAAATATAAAGGAGTCCATTATTAAAAACAAAATTATAATCATCTACTGGTAGATGCTTATTACATTAATTTTTTTGGTTAACAAAGTGTCTGCTATTCCTGGAAGACTTGAATAACTCCAGGACTCAAATACACATAGTTGAAACATAGAAGTGTAAACAATTTTCTTCATGAATTTGTCATAAAGAAAATTTGTGATTTTCTTAAATGGCCAGGGAGACTAAAATTCTGATTTGGAGGGAACTATATGAACTCACATGGAAGTTTTCTGAGCTGAGAACCAGAGGTTAACCAAGAAAAGGTGAGAACAAAAATAAAACATAGATTTCACTTTTGTAGTCCACTTCCTAAATAAAAAGGGGTCGAGAAGGCTTTCAATTGCTTTTTAGATTTCCAGGTTTGCCCTTTACTTGGTGTTTCTAAAGCAGGTAAAAAGGCCAAGGAATATTAACAACAACAGCACACAAAGATCAGGGAACCCTGGTGGCATTTTATGGCTTGTGCTTCCATCCCTCGTCCGGAGTTAAATGACCCCCATACATCAAATTACATAGCAGTTTCTAGGACAGAATCTATTATCGTTAAGTTGGAAGGGGAGTTCAAGCCGTGGTCATGGAGATGAACGCTGGTTTTTCAGGTTCTTGGTGGATTTTTTTTTCTCTAATCCATCATGTTTTAACAGGTAGAATTTGATAGTTGCCCTGAATAACAGCACCTCGGAAAGTCCAAGGCAGGAAGGTCTGGGGACCTTCTGTAGCAAGGGAAAAGAGCTGGGAGTGACCTGCTGGGACCTGCCTGAGAAACAGGGAGAGAGAAGGAGTAAAGAATTGTCCAAGATTTGAGTGACTTGCTGGAGGGGAATGGTGGTGTTGGTCCCTCCCCACAGGATGTTCCATCCGAAGTTTTCTCTCTCCTCTCCTTGACCACAAGGGGCTCTTTGGAAGAGGTAGGCCATATCCCTTCACAAGTGTAGATTAACTGCCTAACAAGCTCAGCTTCTGAAATCCAGCAGGGCTGAGTATGGCTATTGCCTGAAAAAAAATTGTGCATACCTCTCTAGGGTGCTGGACGGTCCAAGAAGGGCCTGGATGGGAAGTCACCACACATCATGATTCTTTTGGCAAGTATCAGTTCTAAAGAGAGAATTGGAGGAAAAATTGGTGACCCAATCTCACCTCTACCCCCTCGCCCCTTGCCCATGATCCCCAGAGGGGAGAAATCCAAGGAGCCGTGACGAAGAGACACCCCGTTTCTTCTTCCCTGGAAAAGAAGGATCCCGACCCTGTTCCTTTCTAGTCCATCAGGCCTTTCTCCTTTTGAACTCCAGCTCCCGAGACCCGGCTTCCAAGGACCTTTCACTCTCCTCCTCACTCCCCGGAAAACCCCCCAACTCCAGGCACAAGTTAAGCAAATATTTGTAGCTGCCAGTAAATTCCAGCGGCTTTTTATAGCGTGGCTCTCTGCGCCCGGGGCCAAGTCGTGCTGCTAAATATTGCTGACCACTTTTTCTTTTATGGCTTTCATGTCACTTAGCTATTGAGAGTAAGATGGATTTGCGCCGAGCCCTCACGGCGCTGCGATTCTCGCCCCTCAGGTCTGCGCGGGGCAGCCATTGGCGGCGGAGCGTCACGTGACCGCGGGGGCGTGCCAATGTGCGCCCTCACGGGTGTCAAGTCCCTGTCAGAGTGTGCGATCAAGATCCTGAAACAACGCGATGCAAAAAGCGACCTACTACGACAGCTCGGCGATCTACGGTGGCTACCCTTACCAGGCAGCCAATGGGTTCGGTTATGATGCCAGTCAGCAGCCGTACCCGGCGTCTGCGGCAATGGGCGCTGATGGCGAGTACCACCGACCGGCCTGTTCACTCCAGTCGCCTACGAATGCCAGGGTCCACCCGAAGGCGCACGAGCTGAGCGAGGCGTGTCTGCGCACCCTGAGCGGTCCTCCCAGCCAGCCCCCCAGGCCTGGGCGAGCCGCCCCTGGCCCCACCGCCACCCCAGGCCGCTCCCCCTGCCCCACAGCAGCCTCAACCCCCTCCGCAGCCCCCTGCGCCCACCCCCTGCTGCGCCCCCGCCCCCCTCATCAGTCTCCCCACCTCAGAATGCCAGCAGCAACCCCACCCCTGCCAGCGCAGCCAAGAGCCCTCTACTCAACTCGCCCACCGTGGCCAAACAAATCTTCCCCTGGATGAAAGAGTCTCGGCAAAACACTAAGCAGAAAACCAGCGGCTCCAGCTCAGGTAAAGGGCGCCTTCCCGAGGAGTGTACTCCAGCCTGGCGCCCAGCTGGGCAGGCCACGCCAGCCACAGCCAGCAAGGTCTAGGGGCCCTGAAACATGCCCAAGAATTCACTCCTCCTCCCTCAAACCCTTAAAGGTTTCCAGAGAGTCTTTGCACTAGAGAGGTGACAGGACTCTGTGTGCTCAGGAAAATCCCAGAAAGAGACCTGATGGGAGTCTCTCTGGACCTAAGAGCAAGTGGGGCCTAGTGACTTTGGAATGCCTCTTGTGGAGTTAAGACCTTTGGGCAGAACAAACCTGAACTCCACTTTTTATCACAGTTCCTCATTTCTAATGAAACAGTGACAGCTACTCCACACTGAAATGTGGCAGAATGAAAGCAGGCCTCCAAATCAGAATCAATGCTCTGCCTATAATCAGAGCCTATTTTTAAATTTTTGCTCCAGCAGATGGAGTGGCTGCCTTACCTCTGGGAAGGCTCTACTCAGACTTAGTACAATGAAGGCAGCCAGGGATCTCCTGGGGGAGGGGATGCAGACTTGTCATTCTAATGGGAACCACATGGGCCTCCTGGAACCAGATTCCAGTAGAAGATAGGCGTTGGGTCTTGGGCTTCCCAGTGTCTTGATTTCCTTTGCCCCTGGCTTCTCCAATTGTTAGGGCTCTGCTCTGAGCCTGAGTATCTGGGGTCATCCAGAGCCAGGATTTGGGGGGCCAGGGAGGAAAGGAAGGTCAAGATTAGCGGGTGAAGCTGGAACAGGCTGCTTGATGACATGGAGAAGTCCTAATTAATCGCACCCAGCATCAAGGGCCTGGGCCTCCCCACCAGAAATGAATACTTTCAATGGGGACCTCTTCCTTTGGGCAAAGAAGCCTTCCAGATTGGAGCTTCCACTCCACACATCTACACTTGGTAGATTAAATAAGTGGCCAGTTGAGGCAACTGTCTAATTCTTCAGTCAGACAGTGATAGAGGGAAAAGTTTATTGAGTGTATATTAGGTGCCCCATATTCCAGTTACTGTGAAGGGAATGAAGATGGTGAGACTGCCCACAGGGAGCTTGCAGTCCAGTATCCCTAGGGTCCATAAATTAGACAGAAAGTGAATGGCTCCAGCAGGGAAATATAGACCAGAAAAACAAACAGGGGCTTCTCCTTTTCTGTCCTTCCCAGCCTTGGAGATGCCTATGATCTGCAACTTTACTCTGTTAGGAGCTACCAGCACTGTTTGCCCACCAGGACAGAGGACAGCCTCTAATCCCTCTTCCCTTTTCTGGGCCCTGACAGATGGAGGAATCTTTGGGGCCTGGAGAAAGGAGGAGACTGGCTGGGTCAGGGGCTGGGAGGGGCTGCGGGCAGCCCCTGATGCCACTCTTCCTCTCTCCTCTGATCTCGCAGGGGAGAGCTGTGCAGGCGACAAGAGCCCACCTGGGCAGGCGTCGTCCAAGAGGGCGCGCACGGCCTACACGAGCGCGCAGCTGGTGGAGCTAGAGAAGGAATTTCACTTCAACCGCTACCTGTGCCGGCCCCGCCGGGTAGAGATGGCCAACTTGCTGAACCTCACCGAGCGCCAGATCAAGATCTGGTTCCAGAATCGCCGAATGAAGTACAAGAAGGATCAGAAGGGCAAGGGCATGCTGACGTCTTCAGGGGGACAGTCCCCAAGTCGCAGTCCTGTGCCCCCTGGAGCGGGCGGCTATCTGAACTCTATGCATTCGCTGGTTAATAGCGTCCCTTATGAGCCTCAGTCGCCCCCGCCTTTCTCCAAGCCCCCCCAGGGCGCCTATGGGCTGCCCCCGGCCTCCTACCCCGCACCCTTGCCCAGCTGTGCACCCCCGCCGCCCCCACAGAAGCGCTACACGGCGGCGGGGGCGGGCGCCGGGGGCACACCCGACTATGATCCGCATGGGCATGGCCTGCAGGGCAACGGCAGCTATGGGACCCCACACTTACAGGGAAGCCCCGTCTTCGTGGGGGGCAGCTATGTGGAGCCCATGAGCAACTCTGGCCCACCCCTCTTTGGCCTAACTCACCTACCCCACGCCGCCTCGGCTGCCATGGACTACGGGGGCGCTGGGCCGCTGGGCAGCGGCCACCATCACGGGCCCGGGCCAGGGGAGCCGCACCCCACCTACACGGACCTTACCGCCCACCATCCTTCTCAGGGAAGAATTCAGGAAGCCCCCAAGCTCACCCATCTGTGATGGTGGGCTCAGGGCTGCGCGCCAGGAGACTGCCCCCGCCCCCACCACTTTTCTTTTTCATTTGCTTTTTCTGTTATGTTTTGTTTAAGGTTTTTCCTGCCCCTCCCTTTTCTCTCTCCTCCATTCCCCATTCTCTCCCTCTCCCCTCCCCCGTTTTGTTTTCTTTGGTATCACGTTTTTATAGTTTATGTGACGTAGCAATCTTGGTTGCTGGAATGGCTGTCTGTATCGGTAGCGATATTTATCTTCTCCCGCCCCTCGCTCGGCCGCTGGCCCTGCACCCTTTACCTTCTCTACTCTTTGATCAGAAACAGGGTATATGAACAGATTTTCTAGCCGAGTTCTCCAATGTGAATTTGTTCGTACATTATGGCTCCCGAGGGGAAGCGATTACTTTTTTTTTAATTTTTAGTTTTTTTAAAAATTGCACTTCTTGTAAAGAGCGAGAAAAAAAAAATCAAAGGCGCTTTGAAACAGGGGCTCCCTGTGCAAGGATGACTAAGTGTACGTCTTTCCGTGTGTGTATGCTGGTGAACAGTCAGATTTATTTATATTTTTTTTGCAAGCATTGAATAATCTAAGTTTTAAATATTATTTATCCCCATCCGCTCGTATTTATATTAAAGAAATTCTGTACCCTGATTGTTCAGAAGGTTTCTTGGGCCTTTTGTTCAACGGTGTATTGGCGTACATAGAAAAAATTTTATTTGAAAGGGAAATATAATTCCTTTATAAAAACGGTAATGATGCAATAATACCAGAGAGGATCCAGCTTTTGAAAACAGTGATTTAGGTTTGTAACATCAGGCAAAACTGAAAAAAACAATCTGTAAACGCGAAAAATGCTAGATTTGTTTTGAGAGTTCTACATTCCTTGCTGCTCACATTCTGAGAAACAAAACAAAACAAAAAATAAAGTTTTTATTCTGAATAATATCCGTGTTCAGAAGGGGTTCTTTGGCCGAAGATAAGGGTCTGCGTGGAGTCCAGGCAGAGGCGAACTGGCGGAGCAGGCCACCAGGGCCCTCCAGCTCCAGCGTGAGGCCTGGCCCGGCGGCTCGCCTGGGAGCGAGACGAATTCTCGGGAAGGCAGCTGGAGCTTCTAGCGGCAGCAGCTCTGGAAACGCCAAGCAGCCAGCCCGCTGGGCTGCCTGGTGCCCAGCTGCCACGGAGGCCGGCCATGGGCGCAGGGGCTGAGGAGTGCGGCGTGCAGGAGAAACAAAGGCAGCGGGGCCGAGGCGCACAGGTGCCCCGCAGTCCCGCGGGCGAATAAGGTAGGGCTGTCTTCTCCTCCGTCTTCCTCTGGTCAAAGCGGAGCAGCCAACGCCTTAACACGGAGACTTGCCCGCAGCGCGGAGGATGCCGAGCACTTTCTAGGAGCAATCGGATTCTTCGCAGATGTTTCGCTGTCTCAAACGCCAGGAGGAAAGAATCAATCCTAAAATCGCCGCTGGGAGCAGAGAGGCTCGGAAAAGACTGAGGCTGATCCAGGTCTACAGCAAAAGGAAGGCTGAACTCCGAGGAGCCTCCCTGAGCCCTTCCATGGACTACTTGAGTTCAGCATCGGCTTCTTCCCGGAATTTGGGATTTGGCGTTCTCTGGATTTATTTCCTCTCCTTCCCTCCTCGCTTTCCTTTTATGGCCCCAGGGGGAGGGGGAGAGAGAAAGAAGACTGGTATCTTTCTAATAAAAATGCAGTTTTACAAGTACTTCTTTGATTTGATGCTACAGGAGCTAAGCATTACATTTCTACTCCTGAATTTAAGATAGGGCTGCGTACTGACTGGCTGGCAGAGGCAAAGGCAGTCACAGGAAAGGGAAATAGTTTCATTGTCAAATAAAAGAATTGCTCAGAGAAGGAACCAAAATCAGAAAGTGCAAACCTCAGAACTGCATCCTTATCAACATGCTCCCCTTAAAGCTGGAAGTGAGGAACCACCTGCGTCTGGGGATCAAGAACATCTTACGTGAGAAATAGATCCCCCTTCTCCCTGGATTGTATCTTTCAGAGACAGAGATGGAAAATGTCGCCATTTTGTTTGCAATTCAAAATATACATCATTATGGCCTTTATCTTCCCCCTGAGAAGCTCTCTCAGATGAACTTTAAAAACAGACACTGAAGCCATTTTGGGGTACCTTCTGGGTCCAAAGGACTTGCTTTTAGGGTACCTCCTCACTTTTAAAAAAAGAAAGAAAAGAAAGACTGGGAAGATGCAAAGCCAGGAAGCTGTAGAGATCTGAGTGTTTCTCTCATGCCAGAGAAGCTTCCCCTACATCTGTCCTTGGGGCTCCTGCTATGTCCTTTTTTTTTTTCTTTTTAAAAAGTTTGGTCTGTGGAAGAAGTAGATTTGCTCCCTACCCCACCTCAACCTCCCTGCTGAAATATGGTGACCCTCAGAAATGCAAAGCCTAGAAAACCAGTCTTTGTAAGGACTGGAGCTTCTGCCCTTTTGGTTGTTCAGCTCTGGACACAGTGGGCTGAGCAGACACGGGAGTCTTCTTTTAATGAATAATTTTAGAGAAGTGTGTAAAATTACCTGGGAGAATTCAGAACGGTAGAGAAGAGAGAGAGAGAGAGAGAGAGGGAGAGAGCCAGAGAGAGACAGAGTGAGCAACCCACCCAGGGAGGAAAATCTTTCAGGGATCTCACTATTTGAACCCATTTCTAAAATCTACTCTTTAGCTGAAAGAGAACTGTTTGGAGGCTTCCTCCTTCCCTCAGGGCAGAGATTTTTAAAATGAGATTCCAATATGATTTCCCATATCTTGCCAGTCAAGACATCCATTTTGGCTTTCAAAGAAAAAATATCGATCTCAACCCCCCAGCTTCCTAGATATTAAAAAGTAATCCTTATTAAAATATCTCCCAAGTTAAAGTAATAGATTTGGGGAAGATTGCAGTGTTGAATGGTCAAAGAAAAGGATTTTCTTCCAGATGGTATTTGAATTAAGGCCTCTCAGACAAGCAGAAAGCTCTCACCCACACAGCCCCTGACAAAGCCTCAGCGATATGGGGGCAGCGCTGCTCCCTCTCGGTGCTCCCCCTCCCCTTAACCCTCAAAATTTTCTGGTAAAAGCAAATGCCAAAAGCCACCATCCCAGAGTCTGCAAAACACCCTTCCTAAAAGCAGCCTGATAACTCTTTCTGCTGCCAAAAAATATCTTTTAAAAGACTAGTTTTCCTTGTTTACTTGCGTTTCCTCCTCTCCTCTCTGCTCGGCCACATTTGATCTTGGAAAGAGCTTGAAGCTGAAATGTGTTCTTAAGGGCCAGAAGCTGTCAAGGCTTTTGGTGAGCAAGATTGATCGCACCCAGACTTCCTTCAGAGCTTTGTTTGGAATAAAAGCAAGAAAACTGAAAAACCTCACATTTTTCCAAAATAGCATCTCTATCTGTAAGGCGATGCTCTGGGCTAGTCAAAGACGGAGGCCACTTTATATATAATTTCCAACCCAAGCCCCCTTTGATGCCAGCCTCAGAGATGGAGTCCTATCCTTGTGCCTTGGTCGGCCTTCCTTGTTTTCTACATAGATTTTTCTCCCTCGACAATCTCTCCCTGGCCATCAGAATGATTTATTTTCCTGCCACCGATGCCTGCCAGCCTGGGGGAGTCTGATCACTTGGTCCATTTCAAAGGAAGCAAAAGCGAATCATCATTCTCAGGGTTTGGGGGAAAACAGATACCTTCAGATTTCTCTCTCAGCCTCCTCCCTTCTTTCTGGCTTGGTGGATTTTTTAGAAGTTATTGTTTGGTACCTAAAGGTGTTATCTTTTGAACCCTCCAGCACAGTCCAAGATGCGCTGAGTCTCGTCTCGAAGTTGGAAAAAAGAAAGTGAACAGAGAAACAGAACCTTTATAATTCCTCCATGGGTCGCCCTCTCTCACCCACCATACCGTTTCCCATAACTGAACCCGAGTGCAAACGTCCCTGGTGGCCAAGAATCAGGAAGGTGAAGGAGACAGTTCAGGCTGCCAGGGAGGGCTCACTGTGCCTGAACCAAGAAGCCCCCATCAGAGCGAACAAAAAAAAAAAAAAAAAACGAAAGAAGAAGGGGACGAAAAGAAAGGGAAAAAAGAGAGAGAGAGAGGAACAAGCGCCTTCTCCCTCCCTGCTGCTAACTTCCAAAAGACTTCCTGGAAATCAGAAATACTCACCGCACCCGAGCCCCACGGGTATGAAACCCAGAATGCCAGGAGCCGCACGCGTTTGCTCGGGGCGGCATTTCTTTGGCTGGCCGCCGCCCTGGCTACAGGGATTTGGACACAGGGACCTGGGATTGTTGGCTCTTGGCACATGCATCTATCTTTCTCCAGCCACTTCTGAAAAGTTGATGGCGCAGGGAGGTCGGGAAGCTTCGAGAGCCGTCTCCCGTTTTCCGCTTCCCGGTGGAGCCAGATGCATAGCCGGCTAACAATTGGAAAAGCCGGCTAACAATGGGCTGGGGTCTGGGGTCCGGGGGCGAGGACTCGGAGCCGGGCTTGGGAGGGGGGCGAGGGCCTGCGGGAGGTTGGGGGAGGAGAGGTGGGCAGAGGAGAGAGGGAGGAGGAGCGGGGAGAAGAGGAAAAAAAGAGGATAAGAGGGAAAGACAGACTGATAGGAAGGAAAACAGAGACAGATGAGTTCAGAGATCCAGGAACTGGTTTTAGAAAAGGTGGAGAAAAAAAAGGGGGGAAATAAAAGGGGAATCCCCCAAAAGAATCCTTCTTCTCTTTCTCCGTTCTCTCCTTTTTTCTCTCTCTCTCCTCTCTCTCTTCTGTCTCATCTCCCCTCTCCCTCTGCTTCTTCCTCCTGCTTTAGCAGAACTTATGTGGCTGGGATGCGGGGGCCCTCGGGTGTCAAAACTTTGAAGATTAATGGATTACTTTGTTAATGACTGCAGGCGTCAGACTGAGGTGCTTAAATGATTTGTGAGGTGCGAGGCGTCTTCCCGACAGTCCCAAACAATGCGCGGAGTGTGCGGGGGAGGCAGAGGGCAGCTGCCGGCGGGACCCGCGCAGGGCTCACCGCTCGCACGCACTCGCACACTCACACACACTCCCAGGCGCACACACCAGATCTTTGCTGATCAGGAGGCAAGCAGGCACCCTCGCCCCCACGCACTCCCAGGCATCCCCACCCACACCCACATATATGTATTTTTGCCCTGAAAAAAGTGTAAATAAAGCCTCGCTGGCCCCCAATGAGGCGTTCCTTCCCGACTTTTTTGGATCAATCAAACAGACAGTGGCTTCTTTTGATTAAAGCCCAAATTGTCATTGGGCAGAAGCAATCATGTGACAGCCAATTCGGTCCAATTTCAACCTTGTCTCCATGAATTCAATAGTTTAATAGTAGCACGGTCCCCATACGGCTGTAATCAGTGAATTAGAAAAAAAACACCCCAGCAGCGATCTTCTATGATAGATTTTTTTTTCCTCCGCGCTAGCCTTTTTCCTGGGCCTTGCCCCCCCAAAGCCCCTCCAGAAGAGGGAACTTTTTCTCCGAGGGGGCTCCAAGGAGAAGGCCATGAATTACGAATTTGAGCGAGAGATTGGTTTTATCAATAGCCAGCCGTCGCTCGCTGAGTGCCTGACATCTTTTCCCCCTGTCGCTGATACATTTCAAAGTTCATCAATCAAGACCTCGACGCTTTCACACTCGACACTGATTCCTCCTCCTTTTGAGCAGACCATTCCCAGCCTGAACCC